TTTTTCAAGATGAAAAGTCCAAGATTACAAAGACAAACGCCTATATCTGCCCCCTCTACAAGACAAGTGAACGTAAAGGAACTCTTTCCACTACAGGACACTCTACCAACTTCGTTATTGCCATGTTGTTAGAAACAGACCTGCCTATTCAACATTGGGTCAAACGTGGTGTGGCTCTGCTCTGTCAGCTGGATAACTAAACTGAACAAATTTAGAAAACATCTGATAATTTTTAAATTTTCACTTACTTAAAAAATTTCCCAAACTGTGTATTGTGGTGTCATTCCTTGAACGGGCCTTTACCCCATTCTGTCTGATGTTCCACCCTTGATTAGAAAAGTCCTGTAACCAGATGCCTTTGGGTTCAGCTAGACACCTTCAGAGAAAATGTGAGACAAAGTTCTATGTTGAAGCATGTGGAAATCTTTGCAGATTTTATCTAGTTTCTCACAGTTTGATACAAACACAGGAGAGAGAGAGAGAGAGAGAGAGAGAGAGAGAGAGAGAGAGAGAGAGAGAGGTTGAGGATGTGCACCTCATGGGAGGAAAAGTAGAAGAGAGAGAGAGGGAGTTTTCCTTAAAATGAGGTTTTTACATCAGGATGCAGGGTGGCCCCAAGGGGCAGGATTTCAAAGGACAAAACAGAATACTAACATTCCTCCATTTTGATTATTATAAAAGAGTTGAGTTATGGGAGCAAGTGGGGGAACAAGGGTGCTGAATTCCTGAGAATGCTTCAAGCTGCCAAGGGGCGAAGTGGGGAGGGGGAAACTGGGGGTCATGCATGGCAGAAGATCGCAGGAACGTTCCTTGAGAGAGCTGAGGAGGCAGGTTGCAGCAGTGGTGTTCCAGGAGCTTGCATGGAAATGGCACACCAAATCAGGAGTATAGAAGCCATGGCATCTGCTGTTTCTCTGGAAGTCACGGGGGAAAAGCGAATCTGCAAAATATGCTCAAAAAATAGGTGGGGTCAGAAGTGGGCTCTGGAGATTGTTAGTTTTCATCAGACCAGATTTCTTGATGCAGTAGCAAAACTTTTCCCAGGAGCCTGTAGTTATCTGTAAGACAGCTGGAATGGATTTACATCAAGGCAAAAGGGTTAAAAACCTTAGGAACCATTTGTTAAAACTTTGAACCTCTGGAGTTATATTTGAAACCAGTCTACCCTGTACCATGAAGTCTGGAGCTCTTAAACTGATACCCCCTAGTCATTAAACATCGTCAGATCTGAGAAGGATACATTTAAGAAGTAAGATAGTTTTCCAGCTACCTAGGCAGTAATTCCAAGTCTCTCTGTGGTTGTTGGGGACAGAGGCCCCAAAGGCAGCATTTGTTCAGATGGTAGGCTCAGAAGATCTGACAGATATGGAGGAGAAATTTGGGGAGACTGACCCACCTTGACTTTGCAGTATGGGTCTATCAGTCCTCCATTATTCCACTTATTCACAGTCTGGACAGGATCTCAGCTTTTTGCTGTGTGGTCAGCCTTGCCATGAGCTTCCAGGTAGAAGTTCTGTGGCCATCCGTCTTCCTGGAGAAGATACAGGAGCTGACAGGTCTCTTTATCATAAAAAGTTTCTTATTAAATGCCATGTTCTCAGATCTCTACAGGTGTTTGAGGACCAGGGAACAAAATCTGTTAGATGTATTTATAACTTTGAGAGCATATATATATATATATATATATATATATATATATATATATATATATCACTTAAATCTGAATATACAGGTTTCTCAGTTAGTTATAGCTTAATGAAGTTGGCTGATCTTTGAATACAGCCAGATTATAATCCTGAATGACTTATATAGAAATAATTATTTTTTAAGCTATCTCCTGAGAAGGCAAAGAAGAGTGACGGGGGAAAGATCCCAAGGCCAAATGGGAACAGGAGAAAGGGGGCTTGTGAGTCAGGGTACGGCACAACTCTGAGAAAAGGAAAAGGACCAGACAGCCATCCTAAATGATTTATATAGAAATAATTTCTTACCAGGTGGTGGTGGCATATGCCTTCAATCTCAGCACTCAGGAGGCAGAGCCAGTTAGATCTTTGTGAGTTTGAGGTCTACAGAGCAAGATCCAGGACAGGCACCAAAACTAAAATAATAATAATAATAATAATTTATTATTATATAATAATAATAAAAATAATAATAATAATAAATAATAATAATAATAATTTCTTAAGGTCATACAATACCTCCCTAGTTCTGCATAAAGAAAGTCAAATTTCTTATCTTATTGCAATACCATTTTAATTAATAAGTATCAATGGGCATTAGATAGCCAATTGGTCCTCTATGCCAGGGTGTTTCCTTTTGACCCAGCATTTCAGCCTATTCTGGACAAGGAACTTGGGACAATGTATTCTCTTCGGTAACTGCATCAAGCTGGCATTGGGGCGTTGTTGTCAGGGCCCCAAAAAAGGATAAAAGGCTGGTCAAAGGCTAGGCAATGGGGCATCTGTCAGAAGCACGTGGTTATCTGACACAGTTGTAGAGACAAGGAACAATTACAGTGGTTGGTCTACATTAGCATTTAGCAAGTCTGCAGCAGTGTGGTCAGCAACTGAAGCTTGGAGGTGTCCGCCAGCCAAGTGGAAACCTGTTGAGACAAATTTAAACTAGGAAGAGAAGTTAAAATTTATTAACTTATTTGGAATTTTTAGGCCCATATTCTTAGTAATTGGGAAGAGCAGGAGTCCCAAGACTAGGAGAGAGAAAAAATACCATCCTTTGGAATAGACAAGCGGGGGAAATTTAAGCTGGAGTCCTTCCAACCCTGTGAAGTGGATCTGGGCTTTATGACTCTTTCAATCCTCTGAGGCCTATATGAATTATCTTACAAAATGACATAAAAGTTTTAGATACCTTAGTATTACCAATCAGTATTGAAATTCCAATCAGGAAAAGCAGGTAATGAATAACCAAGGAAAATTTAAAATCCTGAGCTTGTGACCCAAAGTGTATCAGAATTGTATTAATGTTAAGATCTAAAATTTTAAAATCTTAATATAATGGTTCTGCTGATGCCCCAGAGGGGAGCGCATATGTCTCTGGGTCCCACCCACACTAGTGGCCACAGAGGAATGAAGGACAGGCCACGATTGGACCTCTGCCCCACCCAGACAGCTCCCCCACCCACACAAGTAGCCATGGAGGAACAAACGCCAGGCCACGACTGGAACTCTGTCGCCCTGCCCTTAACTTGAGTCAGGAAGTGACTTCCTGGTGCCCTTAGTAAAGATGGCAGTGAGGTCATATGACCTGTCCATTTTGACCTATTTAGGATGGCGGCTTGATCACATCATTGCCCTTGTTTAAGATGGCGCTGCCTGACCACATGATTGGCCCCTATCAAATATGCCCCTGACGAACAGATAAACTGAAGTGTTTCAAAGTCAGAAAGAAATATAGATGGCCATGTCAATCATACATTTCCATTCACACATAGGAAATAGACTTTGTGACAGAAAGATGGAGAAAAGTTTTTTGGGAAACTTTACTGGAATGCATTGGAGCTCAGAGGCAGTGCTGTGGGGGCGGACTGGGAAACAGAGGAGCAGTGCAGTCAGGCAGGAGAGAGGGACGCCTTCCTGGAGCTGCAGCATGGTGCGAGCAGGCGTGGTGGGGGCAGGGGTCTCTGCTCCGCCTGGCCTGACCCAGCAGCGTGAGCAGTGGCAGCAGCAGAAATACAGTCAAGTGAACAGACATTTCTGCAGCTGCTCCACAGGCTGCAGAGGGGGAGGGGCTTCCTGCCAAGTTCCCTCGCTTGGAATGGGAGGTCCTGGCAACAGAGTTAAGTGGCAGAGGGAAAACATTTAAGAGAACGAATTACGGACAAGGAGAGGAATTAGAGGCAAGGGACAGGCAGAGAGAGCGAGTTTTCCCTGGCAGGCAATTGTACATGTTGCGGGAAGGAACCTGGCGACAGGTGATGACATAATTGCTTAGCAGACACTGGAGGAGCATGGGGAGGTGGGTGATGAGGAGGGAGCTGGGGTAGGGTAGGCACATTTTTCCACAGTTAGGTATAAGGCCTTGCAAACTGACCTCGAGTGTCCCAGAGGGTCAGCGAGGGCCAATGATAACGGTGCAAGATAGCCAATGGACCATCGTGCCAAAGGCTGTGGGCGGTGGAATTGAGCGGACACAGGCCGTTTCCATATGCTACCCCATAGCGCCAGGTGGCGGCGGTGTGTGTGTGTGTGTGTGTGTGTGTGTGTGTGTGTGTGTGTGTGTGTGTGTGTGTGTGTGTGTAAAGCCTGAAAGACACGTGGTACCAGCAAGCAGACTGAGATGAAGCCTCAGTTGTGGGAAAATGACCAGAAGGGAAGGGAGGAATCTTACCAATCCCATAGGGTGAAGAGTCCCCTGGTGGTGTTCTAGTTGGAAAAATGGTGGGCAGCACAGGGTCCCAGGGCTTGTCAGACCGTGGGCAGAAAGCAGTGGGATTGCCCCACACTGGGTACCAATGTTATGAATTGTGCATGCGGAGGACCCAAGGCTGGCCAGACCAGGGCCCGCTCATGAGGGGAAAAAATGCTGGGCAGATGCAGGAGGCAGCAGCATGTGGACAGTCCTTCACACCCAGGCACTGCATCCACGTGGAAAGTTTATTATAAAAGAGATGAAGAGAGATAGGGAAGAGGGGGAGAAGAGAGGGAGAGAGAGAGAGAGGTCAAGGGTGCACACCTCGTGGGAGGAAAAGCAGGAAAGAGAAAGGGGAGGAGTTTTCCTTAAAATGAGGTTTTTACACCAGGACGCAGTGTGGCCCAAGAAGCGGGATTTCAAGGGGCGGGTCAGAATGTTAACACCTCTTAAGTGAGAAATTCCGGTCTCCAGTGGCCATATAAGACAATGATTTTTTTTTTTCATGGCTAATCCCCTGAAAATACTTTCTATCTCCCAAATAAGATGAAATCTTTTAAATCTGACGAATCTGGCAGTGAAGAAAAGAGGTCATGTTTCCAGACAGCACAAACCCACGTGTGAAAAACAAGGAAAACATGCCAGACTGTCTTATGATTAAGTATTTATAGTAAAGCTATTTATAATGGTCACCAGAGGGAGTGGAGATCCAGATACCTGCAACATGGAAACTTCAGAGCAGTCCTAGAAGATATTTTAAAAGGTAAAAATTAGTCTTTAGAGCCTGTTCTATAGTAATGTTCTTTTTAAACCATTTAGATATTGCCTAATACACTGCCTCGTCTTAACTACTGCTATTCCTATTCTTTGTGGTGTATTCATTCCCATAGCATGTCACTTTTAGTTCTTACTAGATAAAATAGTATTTTTAGTACAACATTCACTGTATAGGGAAGATCTTCTTTGGGTGCCAGAATCATTGAGGAAAAACTCACATGCCTTGTCCATAATAAAGTCAATAATAAACACTTTCAGTATTGCAAAAATGGCCTGGGCTTTTTTTTAAAATCCCTTTAAAGTTTCATTTAATTATTTATTCACAAGTAGTTTTTTGTTGTTTTTACCGTTTTGCTTTAAGTTTTGAAGTTAGCATGTAGACGGGTTTTATTTTGAGATTTTCAGACACATCTGTCATTATACTTTACTCGTTCCCTTCCCCAGACATTGCCCTCCCCTGCCTTTCTTCCTGAGTCCCTTCCTTCCCCATACAGTTCCCCTTTTGACTTTCATATGTCTCCATCACTCTCTTTTTCTCCCCTCCCCCTCCTTTAAAACCATTTCCTCTTATGGTCCCTGTCTAATTTCATGTAGTGTATGCCTGTGTGTGTGTGTGTGTGTGTGTGTGTGTGTGTGTGTGTGTGTGTAAGGCAGAGGGCGATGTGGGATCTACTTCTCTATTGCTGTCCACCTCGTTTTTAATTTTATTTGTTCTTGACATTTTTATGAGTGCATACAATGAAATATGGTCATATATTTCCCCCAACATGTCATTCTCCAAGCTTCTTGTCCTTATTTTGTTTTGTGTTTTTTTTTTCTTTTTTATAACCCACTAAGTTCAGTTAGTACTCTCCATATGTGTGTGGGTGAATGTGGGGCCATGCCCTGGAGCATAGGAATCCTATCAGTAATCACATCTTTTTAAAAAATGATTTTCACTCACCTAGAATATATCAGCTTATAGTAGTTTTGCAATAAGGGATGGGACAGAGATTGTCTGTTCCATATACACCAGGATTTGATGAGTTTGATCTTGGGAAGGTCTCTTGCAGGTAACCGTGGCTACTGTGAATTCTTGCGTATGACACTGTGAAAGCTAGCCAGCAGGGATAAATTTTACTGGCTGTTTGAGATTTTTTTTTTTTCCTACAGCCAAAAGATGTGGCATCTTCAGCAGTAGGAGAGCTGCAAAGTGATGACTTTCAGACACGATATAGTTGTTACACACATCAGTGCACAGCAGCTGTGGTTATCCATAGCACCTTCATAAAATGAAACCAGTCTACATGCCAGTGTGGATGCCTGTGAGGCCCTGCATCTCGCTGAGGAGCTATTGACAGTTGATAGCTGCTGAGGGAGAGAGAGAAGGTCACTCTCTTTTAGGGATGTGGCTTTCTGGTAGGTTGCTCATGCTCCAGGCGATAGCCTCACGCCCATGTTCATATATGGGCGGCACTGATTGGACTCGGGTGGCGTTTGATAGCAATGAACTCGGAGTTACTGTGAGTAACCAGGGTGACGACAATAGCCTGTGTTGTTTTGGAGACCACAGAGATCTACTCCGCCTTATTTTTTGACACCAGGCCTCACACTTTCGTTTACCTTGTGCTCACCGATTGTCTAAACTGGCACTAGGATTAGAAATGTGTGCGTTCCACCTGCCTTTTTACATGGGTGCTGGGCTGCAAACCTAGGTCCTCATGTTGGTGTACGAACTGAGCCATCTCCAAAAGAGGCTTAATTTGTATTTCCCTAATGGCTAAGGAAGCTGATGTTGAATAGTGTTTTAGATGTTTGCTGGCCATTTTCTTTTGGTTAGTTTTTGTTTGGTAAACAGTATTTCTATTTATTCATTGCAAATTTCATGCATTTATACAAGCTGTCTTGATCTCCACTCACCACTACGCCTCTCCAGTTCCTCTTGGTACCTCCCACTCTGTCCCCTTCCCAGCTTCATATCCTCTAGTTCATTGCTATCAAATGCCACCGGAGCCCAGTCAGTGCCGCCCAGATATGTACATGGGTGTGGGGCCAGCCCCTGTGTGCAGCAGCTGTATCCTGTCCGAAAGCCACCTTGCAGCTCTCCTCCTCCCCAGCTGCCAGCTCTTACATCCTTCCTGCCCCTTCTTCCTCAGTGTGCCTTGAGATGGGGGTGTGGATATATGGGAGTCGTCGGCAGCTGAGCTCTCACAGTTACTTATACCCGACACTTAAACCATGTGTGGGTTTCTATATTCACCACTACTCATTGCGAACAGGAGCTTCTGTAGCAAAGATTAGAGTGGCATAAATCTATGGTTATAAACACAAATAGTTAGAAAGCAGTTTGGCAGTGTGCCAATTGTGAAGCAGCAATGCTAGATCCCCCCCCCCCAAAGGCTGTGATCTCAAGCAAGATGACCAGGTGGACAGTCCCGAGCATGAAGCCCCTCCTGTGGAGCAGGTCTCATGGCCCATCAGAAAGTGGTTAGTTCTCACACTCCTGAGCATCTCCTCCTAAACATGCTGTTACTGTGATATGCAGGATCCAGTGCTGGGTATGGCTGTTGATGTCTTTTCTCCTCCAGAAGGCTGCTGAGCACCCTCTGGCACTGGGGCATCTAGTTTACTGGCCATTTAAATTTTTCTTTTAAGGACTGTCTATACAGTTCATTAGCCTTCAGATTGGCTAGATCATTTGAGGGCTTGGGTACTTAATTTTTGCAGTTCTCTACATATTTTAGACATTAACCTCTGGTGTATAGTTGGCAATGATTTATAACCTAAGTCTCATATGAAAGGAAGGTTTTCTTTAATAAGCTTTAAATAAATGTCTATTTACAGAAACTTCTAACTTATGATGACTCTGGCAATCCAGAAAACGTTTAAATTCATGGGACATTTTCAAATGAATATTTTGTTTTCAAAATTTGCATTTTCTTCATTATTCAGTCCTATCAACTTTCTAGGTTTCTAAATGTCATCCGTATTTTTAAGCAGTTGAAAATCTTTTCACAACTGGAAAAAACACCTGAACTCAAGTGAACCTATCCAAGTTTCACATGGATTACTCCAACAGTGATGAGGACGCAGATGCTGACTTTGACACCCAACTCGTCATTCAGCGGAGTTTGCTGGACATTTACAAGCCACGGCTAACTCAGCCCACATCAGAAGATGAGAGGTAATGTCTTCCTCATGGGCAATGGGCGTTAAGAAGTATTCAACAGTTGAGACGAGTCATGATCTTAACACTAATGTGACAAAAATGGAAGGGGAAGGCAGACAGAACACAGGGAGGGTCTTAGTCAGTGTTCTGTTGCTCTGAAGAGACACCAGGACCACGGCAACTCTTATAAGGAAAACATTGAACTGGGGCTCACTGACAGTTTCAGAGGTTCAGTCCATTATTATCATGGTGGCATGTAGGCAGACATGGTGCTGGAGGAATAGCTCAGAGTCCTATATCTCACAGGCAACAGGAAGTCAACTGACTGTCACGCTTAGTGAAACTGGAGAAAATAGACCTCAAAGCCCCCCCACAATGACCCACTCCCTCCAACAAGGCCACACCTACTCCAACAAGCCCCCCCCAATAGTGCCACTCCCTTTGGGAGCCATTTTCTTTCAAACCACCACAGTTGTCTTTTTTTTTTTTTTCAGTAGTGGTTGGAATTGAATCCAAGGCCACGTGGCTGCAAATCATGCACTACACCACCGAGTTACACTCCCAATGAATAACTGCAGTTTAAGTGTGTATAGGATATGATGCCCAGATGCCCAGAAAGATGTCTTGGAAAGATTAAGAATTTAATAAGTAAAGAAAACAGTTGAAGGAGGGTAACAGCAAGTCTGGGTGAGAAGATGCACACTGGAAAGCAGAAGGAAGAAATGCATGAAGGCTAGGAAGGGCCAGAGAATACCATACACGATTGTCCTTAGGGAGTTAAAGGTACACATGAACCCAACCAAGACACCATGGAAAATTCCCTAATGAGGCAGGTGAGGAGCCCAGTCTTCATCTACCCAGATCCAAGGACCGATGGTAACCTCAGAAGAGACTGACGCCTCTGGGTGAATGGACTCAAGTTTTGTTGGCAGTATTGATAGGAAAGAGCCGCTAGGTCTCTAACCGGCCTAAGACTCACCCTTACCCTAGGTGTGGACAGTTCACAGTCATGCACAGCTACATGTATGCTCTCTGATTGGCAACATTGGCTAAATCATAAAGTAGCTATCAATTTTTTTTTTCATGTGGTACAATGCTATTTCAATGTCAGACAGGTTTGAGTCAGTTCGGCAACATTTATTGAAGGCATACACTGCAGTCTAGGCTCCCAAGTAGACCCGTTTCCTTGCCTCCAAGAAGTTATGTCTAATGAGAGATGGCAGATCTGGAGAGGCAGTTTCCCTATAATGTGTTGAGGAATGTTCTACAGTTCACAAATGGTCTCTCTCCCGCCCCCCCAACCCTTGTACTCATACACAAGCACACGTATGTGAGTGTGCATGGGTGAGTGTGTGCATGCATTCGCATGTGCACTGGAGATCAAACCTAAGATGTTGCATGCTACGCAAGCACTCTAGCACTAAGCTGCATGCCCACCCTCGTGGCAAGTGTCTCCACTGGGTCTCATCGTTTGCCTCCTATGAGAGTTCATCCCTGAGTAACGACTGCGGTCTTTGCCTTTTCCTTTGGGCTTCCATCAGAAACAGCAGGTTTATAACCACGGGTGTTTTCTATGCAGATCCCATTCCGTTTCGAGTGCTGACCATAAGAAGATAGTTGAAGCAATAGAGACAGTTAAGTACTCTTCCTAGTCTCCCTTCAATGTGTGCTGAGGTACAGAGGCGGCGGCGGCGGCAGCAGCATTTCCTTCCACGCTCCAAAAGCCTGGAAACAGACACCCAGAATCTGAAGTGGCCTTTTCTGGGAAAAATGCCTCAGCCTAACTTATCAAAGAATGCCGGAGTTCCTGTGCAGACAGAACTGGGGGTGGTCCTGGGTCTGGGTGTGAGGAATGCGTGTACAAAGCCTCGGTGCTGGTCCTCTGACGGCTAAGCTTGCCTGTCACCGAAGATGGCGCTCGGACTCTTCTTCACCCCAGCCGCGAAGCCCAGAAGTGGCGTGGGCTCCTGCGTGTGCCAAATGTGAATCTGTTTTGTTTTCCTTGTACTAGGTGAGGAAGGTGTGTTGGCACGCTTAACCAAGGACCAGGCTGCATTCGATGAAGCAGATGGGGACGGCTGGCTTCCTCTGCATAGGGCGGCAGTGCAGTTAAACAAGAACGTCTTAGAAATAACCCTGAATGGTGAGCTCCTTTTCATTCCTCTTGATGCTTCTGAAGAGTAAGTTGAGTTTATTTCTGCATCTTAACCTGTGTGGTGTGACGAATTTGTTTCAGCTTCCAAACCCAGTGTGTGGGAACAGACCACCCACAGCGGTGAAACACCGCTCTTTTTGGCTGTCAGCGGTGGCCTCCTAGAAAATGCCCATTTTCTCCTTCTCAATGGCTGCGATCCAAATGCTAAGAATTTGGAAGGCAATTCTCCTCTTCTTACAGGTAAACGAACACCTTGTTTTTGGAGAAGGGTCTAGGTCTCCTCCATCCCCACAGGCTTCTACAGTTAGGGCCCTGTCCATTCGGTCCCTGCCGGCCAGACACAGAGACCCGCTTTCTAGCTTTCGGACAACCCGATGTGGTGACTTCGCCTGTGACCAACTGTTCTTGACTTTTAACTCACTATGTGGATTTTGAAACTGTGTCCCAAGAAACAAAATTTAAAGTTTAAGAAAAATTCTCAGAGGAAGAACAAAGATAGTTGGGAAAGACAAAGAATTCTAATGACTGGCTCTTTAAACCCAGCACAAATGGAATTCTTATCAACACCACTCTGCTCAAGGTTGTCTCCGTGGCTCCCACTCTTTCTGAGAAGGCAGTGCATGCACTACAGAGCACTACACCAGAGAAACTGCGGGTCAGTCCCGCCCTCTCAAAACCTCGAGTGTGTTGCGTGATGGTAGAGTATGTAAAAGTGACATGTGAAAAGCAAACACACATTAACCTCTGAAGCCATTCACAATGATGGGGGAAGGCTGGTTTCCTCTCTGGTTTTTTGCCTTTCCTTTATTCATGTCGTGTGTTGGTGGTGCGGGGATCCAGGCCAGCGCGCTGTTTTGTTGTGGTTGTTGCTAACTACATGATCATTTTCAGCGCAAAGAAGCCCAGGGAGCATTCTGTACTGCACACTTTGGGAACCAGGTCCACACTCTCAGTTCCCGTGAGCAGAGCCATTCTCCTATACATTTTGAAATTACATCTTAGTCATCCATCCGTTTGCTGAAGTGGCTTCAGCTGCTGTGAGTGTCCCCTGCTAAGCAGCTGCTGGCGTCTTAGGACTGTACTAAGTATTTAGACTCTCATTAAGAATACAGAGTTCACTTTTAGTAAAGACGGTTTTCATAAATAATTCAAAAAATAGAATTAACATGTAAATAAAAATTGTCACCACCATTCCATGTCACGGGTGAAGGAGCAATTTTAGTAGACAATGAGGTCAAGTTAGACTGGCCTTAGCATTTCTGTCCTTCCGAAGGAATTTACAGATAAACATGCATTTTCTTTTCCTTTTTATAATATTTTTGCATTTGTTTACTCATTGCGTGTGGGTGGTTGGGAGGTCCACTGACATGGTACATGTGTGGAGATCATATGACAACTTGCAGGAATTGTTTCTCTCCTTCCACCATGTGTGACCCAGGGATGGAACACAGGTCACCAGGCATGGCAGCAAGTGCCTCTGCCCGCTGGGCCATCTCACTGGCCTTTCTTTCTTTAAGAAAAAAAAATACATTACTTACACATAATACTGGGTTTCATTATAACACTTCTGAAAAGTGAAAAGTTTTATGCTGTGTGATGTATTTTCAGGTGGTAAATACAGGGGTTGCTTTGTACACTGATGTGGCATTTAGGCACGATATTTTCATGTATGCATGAAATTATGTATGTATTTAGGCACGATATTTTCATGTAATGTACTCTGTCATGTTCATCTCCCATTGCCCTCTCCCGTCCCTCTAATCTCCTCCCACTTTTCAGCTCTGCCCCCCCTTTTTCATGCCCTTGTTTTTGATATCCAGTGAGTTTAATTAGGGTTGCTTAAAGAAGCGTGGGTGAGAGGTTATTCACAGGAGCACAGACAACTCACTAGTGGTCTATCACTGAAGAAATGTCTCCATCTCCTCCAGGAACCATTGACTGCCTGTGGATCCTAGGGAGGAGTGCAGGTTGTGAACCTCTCCACTAAGCCCCCATTTTCTTGAGAAAATAATGAAACTCTGTCTCAACCGTGGAAATAGCCAGTACACAGTAGCTGCTCATAGCTTACAAAGCAAACATTGCATTGATATAAAGCACTACAAACATTACTTTTGTTTAGTATTATTTTGTTTTTCTTATACAGGGTTTCACTGTGTAGCTTTGGAGCCCATCCTGGAGCTTATTCTGTAGATCAGGCTGGCCTCGAACTCACAGAGATCCACCCTGACTCTGCCTCCCAAGTGCTGGAGATTAAAGGCGTGCGCCACCACTGCCCGGCATCTGCCTTATTTTATGATGTGTTTCCTAAACACAGAATGCTGGAGTGTGCGGGGAGGGGAAGAATTCTTTAAGGAGCTGAGGGTCACTAGCTATACACCACTTACCTTACATCACATTAATAGAATGTCCACTTCACATTTTCCCAGCTGTTCTGAAAGACTCCTACGACATGGCCACCTTGCTAATCAGCCGTGGAGCGGATGTCAATCTGCGATGTGCCAACGAGAGGACTGCTCTCCATGAGGCTGCCAAGCTAGGCAGATGGGACATGGTAAAGTTGATGCTGGCTTCTGGGGCCCACCCAGATGCACGGAGCTCCTACGGATTTACTCCTCTTGCCCTTGCTGCTCAAGGTGGACACACTGAAATCATGGAACTATTACTGCAGAAAGGCAAGGTTGACCTAATGACTGATTACAGGAGGACTGAGAGCCAAGGGTTACTTTGGGCTGTGGGGTTTATTGTTTATTTGTTTTTAAAGACTTATTCCTATTTTTTTGTGTGTGAGTGTCTTGCCTGCATGTATGTCCATTTACCATATGAACGCAAAGTCCACTGAGGCCAGATGCCCTGGAACTAGAGTTAAAACAGTTGTGAGCTGCCATGTGGGTGCTGGTAATTGAACCTGGAAGAGCAGCCAGTGCTCTTAACCACTGAGCCATCTCTCCAGACTCTCAAAGAGTTCCCCTTGAAAGAATGTTTCAAAATAATAGATATCAACATTTTGTAAAGACCAGTATTTAAGAAAATTGTGTGTGAATGTTGGCTGTTAAAAAGGATGAACTCAGCTGGGCGGTGGTGGCACACGCTTTTAATCCTAGCACTTGGGATGCAGAGGCAGATGGTGAGTTCGAGGCTAGCCTGGACTACAGAGCTAGTTCCAGGACAGCCAAGCCCAGGCTATGCAGTGAAACCCTATCAAAACAAAACAAAACATTTTTTAAAAGCCTAAACATGGAGATGGAATTCTTGTGACACAATTCTGCAAATTATAAGGCTGCAGATGACTTTTGCCCAGTACTCCCTCATCATGCTAAGAGTTTTAAACTTTTGTGTTGGTTGTCCTTTCCTACCAAGTCTCTGCAACAACCCATGTTCGTTCATTCATTTGTTCTCTCTCTCTCTCTCTCTCTCTCTCTCTCTCTCTCTCTCTCTCTCTCTCTCTCAACTTTGTCTCAACCACATAAACACCCAGTAGACAGTAGCTGCTCACCGCTTACAAAAACAAAAAAACAAACACTACTAACCAGGGCTGGAGAAATGGCTCAGAGGTTAAGAGCACTGGCTGCTCTTCTAGAAGACCAGTGTTCAATTCCCAGCAACTACATGGCAGCTCACAATGGCCTGTAACTCCTGTTCCAGGGAATCCAACACCCCCACACAGACTTACATGCAGGCAAAACACTAATGCACATAAAATAAAAATAAATTATTTTAAAAAACCACTACTGTAAGTGGATGTTTTCCGTCCATCCAGCCAGCTCCCAAATAACTACAGAGACTTATTGAGAAAGCTCAGCTGATAGCTTAGGCTTGTTTCTAACTAGCTCTTATAACTTAAATTAACCCATTTCTATTAATTTACTTCCTGCCTCGTGGCTTTATTACCGTTACTCTGTATGGCTCATGCTGCTTTCCTGCTTCCTGTCTCTGGCTGGCAACTCCTAGTGATTCTGCCCTTCTTCTCAGCATTCTCTCTGCTCTGAAAAAATCCTGCCTAGCTATTGGCCATTTAGCTTTTTATTAAACCAATCACAATGAAGTATCTTCACATAGTGTACAGGAATAGTCTACTAATATTACTTTATATCTGTCCTATCTATCTATCTATCATCATCTATCTAGCTATCATCTCCCCCTCCTGGCTTCTTTCCCTCCACCTCCTCCAAGGTTTTCATGAGGCATCAAGTTATTAAGATCATAGCAAATTCCTCCTGACTGCTTTGCTTTGGGTCCTAGTCCTCTGCTCTAGTAATAACCAAGAGAAGAGAGAAGAAGTCATGCTTACAGAGTACTTTCTATCCCACAGGCATTTAGCTGTCTGTGTGCTACACAGTCCTTTAAATATGTGAGGCAGGTATCAACCTCATTTCACGCGTGAGGAAAGAGGATCAAAGGTCGTACCAGCTGCAACACTTCCTCCATTACACCCATTCCCTTACCCCAGTACTGTATTATAGTGATGAGCATTCTAGATTTTGGTTTAAGTAGAGGAGACTCTTGGCTCAGAAAACTTATAGATCATTGAGATCATCATTAATGTGTCCAATGAAGCAGTGTATGAAGGCCCAACAGTGTATTTTTTTTTTTTTTTCTCTTTATATCCAGAAGCTTTGGCTTTTAGTAATATGTAGTCCCAGTCTGCAATACTCTAGATGGCAGAGTCTCCTCTATGGAAGAACAGTCCTGTTCTTTGTTTTCTTACTTCTTTTCTATACAGGAAGCAGATCTCTAACAAATGCCTTTAATTTTAGCATACCTAACATATGTGATCTAAGAGATGTCTAAAGTTATTCACTAGAATAACAAAAAGTAAACACTAGATCTTCCATCTTTGAGGAAAGACAGATTCTCTGTCAGTCTCTCTCTCTCTCTCTCTCTCTCTCTCTCTGTGTGTGTGTGTGTGTGTGTGTGTGTGTGTGTGTGTGTGT